TGTGGGACCCTTGAATATTACGCCCCAGAAGAGTTCCTAGATAAGGAGTTTGATGGGTATAAAGCCGATGTGTGGAGCCTGGGCCTGTACACCATAGCGACAGGGTGGCTGCCCTTTGAAGGGGAGAGCTTTGTGCATCTGAAGGAAGCCATCCTGGCCTGCTCTTAACCTAATCCCCTCCTATATAAGAGGGAACCTTCAGAGATGCTGGATTGGCTAATGACTTTTGACCCTGCTGAGAGGCCCACAGTGGCAGACGCATTGGGCCACAAGTAGCTCAGCATGGAGCAGAAAGAGCCCAAACCAAGTGACATCACACTTTTCAGTCTCTTGAGTTCTCCCGAGAACCAGGAAATCCATGAAGCTGTGGAGCACCTGGTGTCTCAGGAGGGCCTTAAAGAACAGGGCAGCGCTCCCCACCCCCCCATGCAGTGCTGGAGAAAATACCAGCCAAAGGCTTACAGCAGAGATGCAGAAAATGAAACTGACATGGGTATCCTAGGTCCTTCCCAAAATGCTGAAAGTCAGAAATACCTGCCAGGCCTTGTCTTCCAGCTGGTCTGTGAGGAAGAGGATGGCCGCTTGTCCCCTGCTCTGAGCTGGGGGAAATCCCAGCCAAAGGCTTGCAGTACACAAGGAGGAAACGAAACTGACATGGGGTTCCTAGGCCCTTCCAAAGTTGCTGAAGGTCAGCAATACCTGTCCGTCCTTGTCTTCCAGCTGGGTCGTGAGGAGGAGGATGGCTGCTTGTCCCCAGGAGGGCTTCAGTGGAGCAGCAAGAACTGAGCTCACTAAAGGGGAGCCTCTAGGATCTGCTCAGTATGCTGAGGCTCAAAACTACCTTGTGGAGCTGGGCTTTCAGCTGAGCCATAAAGCAGCCTCCCGACGCCCAGTCTGCAAGCCAGTGCCATGTCCCCAGTGCTGCCTGAAGGTGACCCGTCATCAGGGCTAAATGCCTGCCACGGGGCCCACAAGACAGTTCCTCACCTGGTATGATGAAGATCCACACTTCCTGGCCAGTCCTCAGGTACAAGAACCCCATTACCTCTGTTTCCAGTCTCAACACCAGCAGTAGTGAGGCCCGCAGTTCAGATAGTCCTCAACCTGACATAAGGAGGAGGACCTGCACTCGCGGCCTCAGATACCAAAACCTGTTGTCCTCCATACCCACTCTCAGCACCAGCAGCAGTGAGGCTGACAGGACAGATGGTCCCCAACCTGCTGTGAGGAGGAAGACCTACATTCCCTGGCCAGTCCTCAGGTGCAGCAGCCCTGTGTGCTCCATCTCCAGCTTCACATCAGTAACACTGTGGATCGTTTAGCAGACAGGAGCCATTCCCAGGGAGTGGCAGAGAAAGAGCCTCCCAGAAAAGCAGTGGGACGGGGAGGCATGGAATTCACCCGCTATAGCAGCTGGGAGCTCATTTGGTCAGGACAGAGGAACAGAGGAGGGAAGTAGGTACTGTTGGGGGACAACATGGAGCCTCCACAGTTGGTCTGTAGGTGGCTGCCATGGAGATAGGGGTGGGAGCTGGGTGGAGGATGGATATTGACTGGGTTTGGAAGTCAGGCTAAAGGGACCTAGAATGGGGAACCCTACCATCTGGATGTGCTCTGGCATTGGGTTCATTGATTGACTGGAGAAAAGCGAGGCAGAAGGGTCAGCAGGGCCGTAAGAATCATCTGGACAAGGCCTGAGTACTGTGGGTACGGGACTCAAGAGGTTGGTCACCAACAGACACAGCTACCTTGGCTAATGGGGAAATGAGGGCTCCGACTCACAGTAGGGGCCTCTCTGCCATCCCTTTCTGCTTGGGGCCCTCCATAAGAAGATTGTCTTGGATGCACAAGGAGCAGGAGCAGTTGGAAGGTGCAGTCATCCAGGCATATGGCCATCATTCAGCCTGGCAGCAAGAAACCACATCACCAGCATGTACCGAGCATACAATGCGTGCCTGGGCCCAGAAAGCAGGTTCCTCATCCATGTACGTGAAGAGAAGGGCTTCCACTTCATTCTTGCTCTGGCGATAGCTGCAAGAACCAAGGTCATCATGGCCAAGCATCCCCTGGCAGGGTCAAGCTTACCTGAAAGGTCTCATTTCACCTGAAAAAGACACTGGCTTCATCTGTAAAAACTGATCTCATCTTGGGGGCTGATGTGTCCTGCCAGAGGCCTTGGGGAAGCTCAGGCTTAGGCTTGGGCTCAGCCTTCTGGTACTGGTCCACTGGGCATTGGACCTCAAGAGTACAAGCACGTGCCTATTTTCAGTGACCCCGGGGAGACTCCTAAGCTTGCACTCGGGTTGACTGGGGTGGAAGGGCAGAACGAAGGGGTAACACATTCTGCCCAGAGGTCAGGACCTGGCAGGCCATTGTGCCAGTCCAGGCACTACACCTATGGCAGGCCTTGAGCCTTGCACTCTGAAGACATGACCCCCAAGGAAGAAGCACCTTAGCAAGGCCAGCCAGAGCCATGAGGACCAACAAGTTATGAAACTGCCTTGATTGCAGCCCAGGGCCCCTTGCAGCCATAAATTCAGTGCATTGGGGAGGTTGGCTGACTGTGAGTCAGTAGATTGCAAAGACCCAGGACTGACTATAGATACGCTCAGCTGTCTCCCTCAAGGGAAGGGTTTGAAAGGGAAGGTCTGCGCACTGGGTTTCTTAAGGAGTGAAATTCAGATTCATGGACTCCCTACTAGAGCAGTGATAAATATGGTGAGATCTGCAGGTTCGAGACTCAATTTTCATGATCCTGGCAAAGTCGATTGATATGTCCCTAGCTAGAGGAACATCCTCCAACACTGCGAAGCCTATGGGGTTGATGCAGGCCCAGGAGGAAGGCACCACTTCTTACAACTTGTGGCCAGGTCCAGGGAGGCCCCTCGCTTGGATCTCCATTCCTTTTATCTCAGTTTTGCATTAGAGAGTCCCCCCGCCCATGCTTTGATTGCATCTCTGTGACATAAGACCTCCTGACTGGAGTATAGCCTAGGGATCTCATTTGGAACACTTAAGAGTGCCATAGGCAGAATACACCAAAATCACAGGAAATGGGACTTGCCTCCTGGGAAAGAGAGTAAAGAGGGTTTTCCCGGTTTGCTGCTGAGGTCTAACAAGCTCTGAGAGCAACACTGAAGTCCTATTGTGACCATCTGACCATCGGCCAATCAACAGTGAGGCCTTCAGGGAACATAGATATTTGTTGAGCTTTGGGGTAAAATCTACATATAATGAAATGAAACTCAGATGTACAGTTGGGTGCATTGTCTACATGAGCAGTGTATGGAAAGTACAGATGCAAGGGTTTGAACCCACATGGGTGTTTCCTAACCAGCAATGGTTTGAACCCACATTGAAAGTGTTTCCTAAACACCAGTGGTTTGAACCCACATGGGAGTGTCTCTTAACCACCAGTCCAACAACTGAAGTAGCAGCTCCTTTGCCTTACAAGATCTCTGTGTGGCCCTTTGCAGTCAAACTCTTTGAACTCCAGTGGCCGCTGACAACCATTCATTCGTGCGTTCTCCATCTCTATTTGGCCTTTTCCCAGAATGTCCTATGAGTTGAATCTTAGCATGTAGCCTTTAAGGTATGGATTCTTTCTCTTAGAAAAATGCACCTGAAATTCAGCCCGGTCACCACATGACTTCACGGCTTGTTCCTCTTTCTCACTGAATCCTGTTCCTCATTATGGATCTGGTATAGTTTGCATATTCATCCCTCATGAAGATCATCCAGTTTACAGTTTTTAGTGATTGTGAATAAGACAGTGAGCATGGCAAGGGGTTTTTATGTGTGCTTGTTTTCCAGGTCAATTGAATACATAGAGATACACATTTGGAGTCTGATGCTGTGTGTGTACTTTTGTAAGAAACTGCCAGATTATCTTAGAGTTCCTGTTCTGCTTTGAATTCCTTTCTTCAGTAAATGCGTGTTCCTGTTACTCCACATTTCTGTCAACATTTCCTATTAGCAGTTCTGTTTGATTTTATGCAAATAGACTTGCAGTGGTATTTCATCATGCTGTTAACACTCAGTATACTATTTTTGTGTGCTTATTGGAGGTAGTGTCCTATTATATACTGTGCCATTTGCGGGGTGGAGGGGTCACCTTTTTGCTCATTAAACATTTTTAGGTTTCATTTATTTATGTGAGAGGTAGAGTTACAGACAGAGAAGGCGAGAGACAGAGAGAAAGATCTTCCACCCATTGGTTCACTCCACAAATGGCTGCAATGGCCAGAACTAAGTCAATCCGAAGCCAGGAGCCAGGAGCTTCTTCCGGGTCTCCCACATGGGTGCAGGGGCTCAAGCACTTGGGCCATCTTCTACTGCTTTCCCAGGCCATAGCAGAGAGCTGGATTGGAAGAGGAGCAGCCAGTGCCAATTGGGGATGCTGGCGCTATAGGCAGAGGCTTAGCCTACTGAGCTACAGTGCCGGCCCCTCTGGATTAAATTTTAAGTGTTCAGTGTATAATTGGGAACAAGTCCTTCATTAGCTGTAAGTTTTGTAAATATTTTCTCCTGATGCTGGCACTGTAGAGTAGCGAGTAAAGCCGCTGCCTGAAGGACGGGCCTCCTGTATGGGCTCCGGTTCGAGTCCAGGCTGCTCCTTTCCTGATCAGTGTGGCCTTTTTAGTGGCACAATGGTAATTGTCATTATTTAAAGCATTTTTGAAAGTTTTTACTTTACGTGTTTAATACTAGCTCCTCTACAGAGAAGCTCCACATTCTGATGGAATATAGTTAGAGACTGGAAGGCAGTTAGGTAGATATGAATACTGACGATATTGTAGACTTCCAGCAATATTTGAAGGGTGGTGATGCTCGTGTTTAACAAACAATTCTAAATTACTAATGCACACTGAGATATCTACAAATGCATTTGGCTTTGTTTTAAGTTATTTTCCACTGGGGGAGTGGCCGTGTGAGGCGGGATGGGAGACTGCTTCAGATACCTGTGGGAACTGTGAGGATGGAATTTTTTGGTTTGGTACACTATTCATTCCTGATTGTTGAGATACATTGGCATAGTCAAAATAAAAAGTAAAAAAGGCAGAAATATGAGATCACAAATAGTAAAATAGGGCATAATTTGGATGGCCCCCACCCTCAATTCATTCCATGCATATCGTAGTCCAACCTGATTTTGCTCCCAGCTAGCTCTTGGTCGGCATCGACCCCTCACTCTGCACTCTGGCCCTTCTCACAACCTCCAGGTGGCTGAGATTTCCCATGACCTCATCTCTCCAAGCTCTGCTCTCCAGGCCACCTGTTAAAGTACAAGGATAGGCCAGCGCTGTGGCTCACTAGGCTAATCCTTCACCTGCGGCGCCGGCACTCCAGGTTCTAGTCCCGGTTGGGGCACCGGTTCTGTGCCAGTTGCTCTTCTTCCAGTCCAGCTCCCTGCTGTGGCCTGGGAAGGCTGTGGAGGATGGCCCAAGTGCTTGGGCCCTGCACCCGCATGGGAGACCAGGAGGAAGCACCTGGCTCCTGGCTCCGGATCGGTGCAATGCGCTGGCCGTAGCAGCCATTTGGGGAGTAAACCAACAGATGGAAGACCTTTCTCTCTGTCTCTCTTTCTCACTGTCTAACTTTGCCTGTCAAAAAAAAATACCACAAGGATAGCCCTGTCTCTCTAGGCCTGGCCTCTACCCTCACCTCGGGGGTTTCCATTCTACATCATCCTAACACTCTGAGGCTCCTTCCCACCTGCCTACCCCAGGACCCCTCCTTCTGTCCCTGCACTCTTCCCACGACCACGTCCATGTCACACTCTAGGTCTCTGCTTCCATGCTGGCACCCAGGAGTCCCTTGTCCTGATGTCCAGACAGAAAGTCTCTTCCCCAGATCCACACAGGTCTCCCAGAGCTCCTTGCTTTGGGCAGCATTGCTTTGCTTGCTGCTCTCATTCTCTATTAGTGAATGCCGTGGTCCCAACTGCCCCAGCTTGGGGCTTGGTACCCCATAGCTTCTGAGAACATGATGAATGCTGATCTTTGTGCTAGGAGAGCTTTGGGTATATGGTGTTACCCACATCTTCCAGACCCTTGATCCTTTCCAGGACTCCCACAACTCTCCCAAGACCCCTAACCTCTCTGAGGAGTCCCTTTATCTCCAGGGCACTAGCCTATCCCATGGCCCCTCCAACCCCTCTTCCACATATGACTGTAGCCTTGAGGTAGGAGGAATCTGTTCTTGGGCCTGGTGTCTGTGCTGGGCCAAGGTTCACAGAACAACCCATCAGTGAGAGAGGCAGGCTTTCTGTCATGGAGTGTGAGTACCCAGGGCCAGCCAAGTCTGGGAGAGTCTGAAAAGGGGCTGGAGGAGGTTCCAGAGAAAGGAAGGCAAGTCGGTGAGGAGGCCCTAGAACTACTGGCCATCCCTTGGGCTGCACTTTACAACAGGTGGGAGACTTTGGCTGTGACAGTGTCTGGTTGTTAGTGCTACCTGTGTGAGAGCAGGTAGAGGGCCTGTACCTGGTATTTTCCTGGACTCTCGGTCTTTATCTTGTTCATGTCTAGCAGCAGTGTTGACTTCTTCCCCCACACCTGGGCAGTGATCCCCATGTCTGTTTTGTGACACAGCTACAGGAAAGGAGAGGCTTGGGTGAGACAAGGCCCCAGGGATGGAACAGGATGGGGTGGAGAACAGCCTGAGGTGCTTGGAACATGGAAGCCCTGGGCTCCGTGGCGTCTTGGGAGAGGCTGGCTCTGCTTGGACTCTGGCCTCATCACCCACAGTTCCCGGGAGGCATGGGCTTCATTCCCAGTAGATTCACCCTTTTGGAGCACCAAGATGCCTCCCAACCCTGGACCTAGTGGTGACCCGAATAGTGACATCAGTTTCCCTCCCTAGAAGATGACCATGCAATGGATGGACAGGAAGACTTTAGGGTGAGAACACTTACCTCCAGCCATCTGAGAATCAGGCAGTGTGCTGCCTTGGAAATAGGCACTGCTTGCACCAACCATGCAGGAAGTTGTCATAAGGGGACCCTCAACCTCCTCCTCACCGTGCTATTACTCTGATATTTGTTCCAGTTCTTCAACATCTTTAGGCATTTCTAGAGTGTGAGTGTCATGGCTGGGAGAGGAGAGGGGATGGCATGAGTCCAGTTGCTGACCTTTCTGCAGTGGCCCTTGGAGGCAGCATAGGAGCCCTAACATGACTGAACTTAAAGGAGTCAGACCCTGAGGCCCTAGATCTTCTAATTGGGTGAGTGTCTGTTGCCTTGTCTCCAAGGCAGAAAAGGCCAGCAGGACCCTCCTTGTGTGTGTGTGGGGGGGGGCGGGGCTGGACTTGCCATCTGCTGCCTTTCCTGGGCAGAAGTCATCACCCTTTGCTAGAGCTTAGTGAGGACTGTTCTGAGAAGGGCTGTGCTGCCCGGGAGTAGGTGGGCTCTGCCCTCAGCAGCTGTTGCCTGAAGTGACCTTGACCTGAAGTGACAGGGTCTGGGTGCCTAGCCTGAGAACTGTTTGCTGCTGAGAGCCTTCACCCAGGCGCCCACCCATCCTGGTGCCTCCACATCCCTTAGAGGATGCCCCCTTGTCTACCTGCTTCTCCTGTATGCTTGAAACGCACCGTACCCCTTCCTTGTCGGCCCCAGAATCTGTGACAGTGACCACACAGGCTGTGGCCAATCCTTTCCTCTGTGTCCTGTCAGCTGCTCAGGCAAGATACCTCCCCCCTCCCCTACGTGGCTTGCAATACGTAAGTCAACCATCAATAAAGGTGGGTTTTTGATACATTTCCAGAACAATCCCCTGGGGCACTGTTCCAGGTGCTCTGCTGAGCCCACCTCCTAGTCTCTGTGCTTCTGTGCAGTCCTGGGATGATGGTGTGAACAGATTCAAGTCCTGCCTCCTCCACCACAGGTCCTCCTCCCAGCACGGAACCCAGGGCAAGTAGGTCACTATGAACTGCAAACCCACTTGTCCTGCTCTCCCTGGGATAGGTCCCTGGGCAGCTTCTCAGCCCCTGATGCCAAAGCCATGGCTGCTCCTAGGAGCCTTCTACAAGAGGCCTTTAGCCCAACCCTCTGGGACCCAGGGATCTGCTGGACACCTGCCCAAAGGTCAGGCAAGGTGCCCCTCACCCCATGGCTACATGCTCTGGAATGTTGCTGAACTGGGCTGGCTCCACCAGCGACAGGGAGGACCTGCAGGCTGCCCCCTGCCCTTGGGAATCCCTGAGCTCTCAGCACCTGCTCTACCTCAACTCTGTCCCTACCAGCCCCCTGAGTTGCTTGTGAGTCACTCAGCTCTGGCCTAATGCTGACCAGGGAGAGCACTGTGATGGCAGCTGGGGACAAGTTCTCAAACAGGTAAACACTGTCCCACTTCAAGGGATGAGTTTCTGAAAATGACCCCACTCCTGGGACAAAATGGGGACAAAAGACTTCGTTGCAAGATCCACAGCCTCCCTAGGGCCAGGCAGCAGCTCACTCCTTCTCTTCCCCAGGCTCCACCTGTGGCCCTCCATGGTGACTCGGCAACCAGGGGGGTGGGGGTGGGGGGGCCTGGTGAGAGGCCATGGACATCAGGGACTGGTGGAACCAGGGAAGCCCCTTGGGGGTCTGTGAAGCAGATCCCCAACTCGTCGATATGCAGCCTCCAGATCTGTAACTGCTCACACTCAGCAGTGATGTGTGCTGCTTCCTGGACCAGCAAGACCTCCAGGTCCCACAGCTCCTTGAAGCTGAAAGGCAAAAATCCCACCATGACACAACCTCAAAGAACCACAGGGAACTGCTCCCCACAGCTCCTGTCCATCAGATCAGAGGAGGTGTCAGCCCCACAGGCAGTGAGTGCCTGATGCCCAGGTCCCAGAATGGTGAACTGTGCAGAGGACAGGGACATGGATAGGCCCACCCCACTTCCCTAGGACGGTCATTCTTCATCCTCCTTTGCCATCCAGCTTTCCTCCCATGACCATCACTGCACCTGTGCAGAAGGCTCCCACCCCACTCCCACCTGTGGGAACCACATGCCCGGTGGGTTCACAGATGGGCTCACCCCACACCTGAATTGAGTGCTCTGCATAGTGCCTGCCCAGACATCCGTGTCCTGACACAGGCTCACACCCAGGGCACACAGGCACCCATGTTCCAGGGTCACTCTGCGGAGGCAACGACATGACTGTATCCACGCTCAGCACACAATGGGCATCACTGAAGACTCAGCCAGCATCACCCTCAGCAGCAGCCCAGAGAGCCCAGGGCCACGCACCTGGAAGCAAATGTCCTCAAGTCGGCAGGACCTGCAGAGCTGGATCCATCCAGCTCTGCCAAACATGCCTCCTGTCTAGAAAATGAACCCCAGGTCCGTCAGTTACTGGACACATGGAAAGAGGGGGTTCTGGGTTACTGGCAACACTGGTGGCCTCTAACTGCCACAGAACATGGAAAGAGAGGGTTCTGGGTAATGGTAGCTTTGTGGAGTTCTACCAGTCCTGTCCCAGTGGTGCCCTCCCAGCTCAGGAGGGACGAGTGTCAGCCTCCTCAACCTCAGAATAAGCACAACCCTATACTGGGGGCTTCTGTGGTCTTTGCAGGGCTGAGGAAAGAGGGAAGAACTGTGGCAAATGTGCCATGACCTAGCTCTGCCACCACCTTCTGTCAGCTGCTCGATAAATCCCAGCCTTCTGCAGGGCTCTCTACCTGTAACCTGTCCGCTTCCTCCAATACACCTCTGTTTTGAACCAATGTTTTATTATTATTATTGTTGTTGTTGTTGTTGTTGTTTTATTTGGAAATAAGTGCAACGAGAAAAAGGAGGAGAGAGATTTTTCTAACCTCTGGTTTACTCCTCAAATGGCTGCAACAGCTACGTCTCAGCCAGGCATTCTATACTCTTACATGGGTGGCAGGGACTCAAGAACGTGGGTCATCCTCTGCTACCTTCCCAGTCACATTAGCTGGGAGCTGAACTGGAAGAGGAGCAGCCAGGATTCAAACCATCCCTCCAGTATGGGATGCCCATTTCCCAAGCAGCAGCTTAATCTGCTATGCCATTGCTACCCCTTGTAACAACTTTCAAAGCCTTGGCATTTTGAATTTCAGTTAGTGCAGTGAGTTTCCCCCCCACACCTCACCCAGCTCCCTGAGTTCAGTCTGTGCCCGCCCCTGCAGTAAGCAGGACTCCCAAGGCTACAAACTTCTGACACAGGACAGGTCTCAGCCCTGCTGATCCATTCTGTGTCCTCCCACTCTGCTCCTGTCTTGTTCCTCTGTGGTGCTGTCAGCACTGGTCACCAGAGAGTTTTCCCGGGATGACAGAGAAGGGAGCAGATGGCCGAGCATGGCCTTCTTTGTGTCCTGTGTCGGCCCCACCTAGTCTGTCTGTGGGAGGAACAGGGCCCCTGCCCTGGGTGCAGGTGAGGGGTTGAGAGACGAAACACTGTGATTTCAGCACCGATACTGGACACACATGCAGGTAATACTGAAGCCAATGCTGACAACAAGGGCTTGGCAAGTGTGGGGGAGGGGCAGGAGCACCCGGGAGAGCTGGGTGCTGGGGAGACCACCAGGGAATGCTAGGTATCCCTGTCACCAGTAGCAGCTCAGGCTCCTCTAATGCCATGCTCCTCCAGATCACCTCTGGCCCCTGCAGAAGTGTGAAGGGCCTGGTGGGTTTCGTCCAGCTTTGTGGGCTTGCTCCTGCTGCATTCCAGCAGCCTCTGCTCTTCCCAACAAAGCAGAGCCTGAACTTCACTCCCCTGTGGAGTGAGCATGTGTGTGTGTGTGTGTGTGTGTGTGTGTGTAAGCATATATGTATGTCCTAGCTGTGTGGGTTCTGCTCCAGCATGAGCATACAAGTCCTTTCACTGTCACCAGTGGCATGAGTCTGGCATCAGAGTTGCTGTGGGAAACCATGAGGGAAATGGCACAAAGCCAATAGAATAAGGAAGCCGGTATAAAGCCAGAAATATAAATATTAATATAAATAAAATGAGGACTGTAAATGGTGAGTTGAAGCAGTATAGATTAAAAAAAAAAAAAAGATGGGATATCTGGTTACAGTTATTCTTGAATCAAGCATAAAACCAAGAGTGTAACTTGGTAAATGTATACATATATCCAAAAGAAAATGTAACACACAAAATAAAAATTAAAAAACAGAATGGTGGCTAGTATGGGAAAACAGGTTCCTAGCAACAGAACCAGTTTTATTCAGTGTTTGGCAGCCAAAACCAGCCAGTGAACAGTTGTCTAGCATTTATCTTTTTTTAAAGAAGTACCTCAGGCAAATCCATTTTTAATAACTGAGTTCCCTTTGTACTAAAAAGGCTTAAATTTACTATTCCCTCATCAATATATCATAAGTGGAGGTGTTCTCTACCTTTTTGAGATTAAAATATCAGATGGAAACTTTTTTCTGTATTAAGGTACGTGATGGCAAAAGTTTTTGATGAAAGAGAAATAAGAAGGCAATTGAAAAACTGGGAATCCATAAAGGAAATGGAATAAAGCTGAAAGGATAAGGAGCCAGCACAAAGCCAAAACCATAGGTAAAATGAGGACTCTCAATGGTGAGTTGAAGCAGTGAAGAATTTTTTTAAAAAAGAAACCTGATATCTGATTACATTATACATAAATAACCATATAACAAAGATTGTCACTTGGAAAATTTATACATACATCCAAAGCAAAATGTAACACACAAAATAAAAGACACAACTAAAATAGTGGACTAGTATGGGAAAAGAGGTTTCTAGCAACAGAACCAGTTTCATCCAGTTTGTGGTAGCCAAAACCTGGCGATGAACTGTCCTCTCGTATTTGTTTTTCTAAAAGAAGTACCTGAGGCAAACTCATTTTCAATAACCCTCTGTACTAAAAAAAGGCTTACATTTACTATGGCCATGTACATATTTCATAAGTGGAGCTGTTCTCTGCCTTTTTGAGGTTAAAGGTCAGGCGTGGGGAACTTTTTCTATATTAAGGTACACTATGGCAAATGTGTTGTGCTGATGAAAGAGAAATAGAAGTAAATTGAAAAAATGGGAATCCATAAGGGAAATGGCACAAGGCTGAAAAGATAAGGAAGCCAGCATGAAGCCAAAAATACAAGTAAAATGAGGACTCTCAATGGTGAGTTGAAGCAGTCCAGACATTTTTTAAAAAGGACCAGATACCAATTACATGAATTCCTAAATAAAGCATAAAGCCAAAAATGGAACTTGATAAATTTATAAAACTATCCACAATAAAATATAACCTCCAGACACACAAAATCCAGAATGGTGGATTTTATGGGAAAATTGGTTCCTAATAGCAGAGGTGGTTTTATCCAGTTTATGCCAGGCAAAACCAGCCAATGAATAGTCCTCTAGGAATCCTGGTTTGTTTGTTTGTTTTTGACAGGCAGAGCGGACAGTGAGAGAGAGATAGAAAGGTCTTCCTTTGCCATTGGTTCACCCCCCCAATGGCCACTGCGGCCGGCGCACCGCGCTGATCCAAAGCCAGGAGCCAGGTGCTTCTCCTGGTCTCCCATGCAGGTGCAGGGGTCTAAGCACTTGGGCCATCCTCCACTGCCTTCCTGGGCCACAGCAGAGAGCTGGACTGGAAGAGGAGCAACCGGGACTAAAACCCGGTGCCCATATAGGATGCTGGTCGTTCACTTACCAGGTTTAATTTGCTCCCAGGCATTTTTTGGTAGTTCTCCTGAATGGGATTGTTTTTATCATTCTTTCCACAGGGAGTTAATTATTGGTGTCTAAAAATGTAACTTGTTTTGTGTGTTGATTATATCCTGTGACTTTACAGAATTTGTCAGTTCTAATGTGTTTTTGAGGAGTCTTTAGGTTTCTCATCATACAGAAGCATATCATCTGAGAAGGAATAGTTTGAGCTTCTCCTTTCTATTTGTACTCTTTCTTTCTCTTTCCTAATGGCTCTGGCTAAAAATTCCAATACTGTATTGAATAAGAGCAGCAACAATAAATATATATCCTAGTGTGGTTCCAGATCTTAGAGGAAATGCATTTGATTCTCCCTCGTTCAATAGGACAGTGACTGAGAGTTGTCATATATAACCTTTATTATATTGAACTATGTTTCTTTTTTTATGAAACAGGAATGGGTGTTGAATTTCATTGAATGGTTTTTTGCATCCATTGGAATAATTATATCATGCTTATGATTCAATGTACTGGTATGATATACTACATATTATGATATATTGTGATGTATTTATATATATATATATGCATAGAGAAGTCAAAGAAATTTTCACAATTCAAGATGATTATTTAAATGAAGAAATATGCTTTGTTTGAGGAGCAGCATAGGATAAATAAAAAATTATTCCACAATCTATGGAAATTCTCAACATCCTTATCTTTGCTTGTTGTCCTTCTTCCATGCTCACCATTTCACTGTGGAATTCCTATTAGATCAAACCCATATCAATCCACCTATCTTCCATATCTTTGAACTACTATTTCAGAATGTTTTTTCTTTTTCTCTGTTTACCGTGTTTTTGATTTTTTATAATATTCTGTGTATTTATGCTACAACTGACACTAGTTGAAATTTTATTATGTTTAATAATTTTATCTTTTCAAACATTTACAAGTTGATATTACATAGATGTTCATATATATCTATAAAATAAATCTCTCTTTGTCTCTCTCTCTCTCTCTCACAAACACACACACACACACACACACACACACAGGTTAAAAAGGAATAATGGAAAACATGTTGCAGGGAAAGAGAAACTGATAGTAGCAAACTTGATGACATTCCATAGCATGTATAAGCATAAAGAAGACACTCTATAATGATAATGAAAGTAATTCAAAACTTATTCTCTATAAAAACATAAAATTCTCAAATATATATTAACCTCTTTTATCTGAATAAAAGTATCTATAAAACCTATAGAAACTCTATGCATAAAGTCTGAAATGTTGGCCGGCGCCGCGGCTCACTAGGCTAATCTTCCACCTAGCGGCGCGGGCACACCGGGTTCTAGTCCCGGTTGGGGCGCCGGATTCTCTCCGGGTTGCCCCTCTTCCAGGCCAGCTCTCTGCTGTGGCCAGGGAGTGCAGTGGAGGATGGCCCAAGTGCTTGGGCCCTGCACCCCATGGGAGGCCAGGAAAAGCACCTGGCTCCTGGCTCCTGCCATCAGATCAGCACGGTGCGCCGGCCACAGCGCGCCGGCTGTGGCTGCCGTTGGAGGGTGAACCAACGGCAAAGGAAGACCTTTCTCTCTGTCTCTCTCTCTCACTGTCCACTCTGCCTGTCAAAAAAAATAAAATAAAAAATAAAGTCTGAAATGTTCAGTGCTTTCCCCCCTTAGTTGTAAAATAAGTCTAACGTGGTCCCCCAACACAGCGTCTATTTAATGGTCACTCAAAAACTACCCAGTAGTAGGTAAAAAAGAAGTAACGATATATGCATTAAATAATGAAAGTGTCATTATTCACATTGCAATTTAGAAACTTGTAAAATTCATACTAATGTAACTGATTAACTGAAATCAGTTGAATTAACAAAATCTTTGACTTATGGTTAATATACAAAATTAAGAATATGCATGCAATTGCGTCTGTAGATTGGAAATTTTATAAAGGTTATAAATCTTTCCAAATTGATCTATACTTTCAATGGAATTCAAATTATAATTTCAGCAGAATATTTGATGGGTAGAAATTAATAATCTTGTTACCAAAAGGTAACAAATGACAATGATAGTCAAAGGAACCCAGGATCGGATAAAGGTTTCCCTAGGATGAGGACAACTGTTCCTGGAGAGTAAGGCCAGAACATGGAATCAAGGAAGCATCCCTGCATACCAGGGATAAATCCCACTTGGTGTGGGTGGATGATCTTTCTGATGTGTTGCTGCATTCTGTTGGCGAGAATTTTATTGAGGATTTTTGCATCTATGTTCATCAGGGATATTGGTCTGTAATTCTCTTTCAGTGCTGCATCTTTTTCTGGCTTAGGAATTAAGGTGATCCTGGCGTCATAGAAAGAATTTGGGAGGATTCCCTCTTTTTCAGTTGTGCTGAATAGTTTGAGAAGAATTGGAGTCAGTTCTTCTTTAAATGTCTGGTAGAATTCAGCAGTGAATCCATCTGGTCCTGGGCTTTTCTTTGTTGGGAGGGCCTTTATTACTGTTTCAATTTCTGTCTCAGGTATGGGTCTGTTTAGGTTTTCGATGTCTTCCTGGTTCAATTTAGGTAGGTTGCATGTGTCCAGGAATCTATCCATTTTTGATAGATTTCCCTGTTTACTGGCATGCAAGTCCTTGTGGTAATTTCTGATGATTCTTTTTATTTCTGTGGTGTCTGTTGTTACATTTCCTTTTTCATCTCTGATTTTATTGATTTGGCTCTTTTCTCTTCTTTTTTTAGTTAGTTGGGCCAATGGGGTGTCAATTTTGTTTATTTTTTCAAAAGACCAGGGTCCAGAGGGCAGAGGCAGATAGAATCTGGGCTCCAGCAGGGAGCTAGCTGCTCTCAGCAGAAAGGGCCCTGTAGTTCATACCCATTCCATTTGCAAAGTCTTCCCTCCAAATCCTCAGAGGTTTGGCTGCAGGAATCACCTCTCCTCCCTTGGATGCTTGATTCCTTTAATAAAGTGATGTTTCATTTTGCATATAACCCACAGCCCTCCCACATATCTTAAATCAGCCCTAGATTACTTAGCATACCTAATACAGTACAAAAGGTATGTAAATAGTGTTACACTGTATTGTTTAGAGAATGATGACCAAAAAAATGGTCTGTACATATCCAACATAGATACAGTCATTTTTATTCTAGAGCCAGAGAAACTGAAACAGAGCCCAAACCAGAGACAGAGAGGCCCCAACCTCTGATTCACTCTCCTGTGCCCACCGTAGCCCGGGCTGGGCCAGAACCAGAGCCAAGAATTCAATCTAAGTCTCTCACATGGATGGCACAGGTATAACTACCATTATAACATTATAACTGCCATTAGCTACCACCTCCCAGAGTATGCATTGGCTAGAGGCCAAAATTGGGAGCCAGAGCTTGGAATTGAAACCAGGCATTTCAACATGGCACACAGGCCTCTTAACTGATGGACCAAAGACCCATCCCTTTCTGAGTATTTTTGGCTCACGGTTGCCTGAATCTGCAGGGGCAGAACACACAGATGTTCAGGGCTGTGTTCACCTTCTAATCTTTCCAGGTGGGACTGTACATGATGCATCCAAACCACATTCACAAGGACCAAATAATTAAAATCCTCAATGATTAAAAACTGTAGGTCAATTAGTTTCAAAACAACTAGTGAGTTCTCAGTTTAGACTGTGAGGTTATGCTTGTTTAGGACACAGGACAGAATCACAGATTCTTAAAAATGAAAATAGCCCTGGAAATCATATCAGAGTCATTACACAATACAACTCCAAGGTACAGATTCACATCAAATTTTATATACGTAATACCTGTGGTATATGCAGTATTGCCTAGATCATGTAGTCATCCCATAAATCATATACAACAGAACCATCTGTAGACATGCACAGAGGTCCCACTTTACACAGCCTTTGTGAATCTAAATATCTGAAACTGAGACCCAAGAATCTATATTAATGTAATTTCCCTAGGATACCTAAAGGCACAGCCAGGTTTAGACCAGTTTTTGTCAACTGATAAAGCTAGAATAGTAATAATGAAAAGAATGGTAAAATAATTATAGCCATTATTGGTGTTTATCGCCCAATACTGTTATTAGTTAACATGCATTGTCTTAATTTAATTTTGAGAGATATTATTCATAGTGTTATCCACTTATCACAGACATAGAAAGAGAGGGAGTTGGAATAACCCTCTAAAGTTACCCACCTAGAGCTGGCCAGGGCAGATCTGCTCAAGCTCCAGCATGCCACAACATAGCTGTGAAGAACACACCAAGTTATACAGAAGCAAAATGTTCACTTCTGCTACAGAGCCAATAATCATATCACTGATTTTCTTTATTTTATTTTATTTTATTTTATTTTTTTAATTTATTTGACAGGTAGAGTTATAAACAGTGAGAGAGACAGAAAGGTCTTCCTTCCATTGGTTCACTCCACAAATGGCCGCTACAGCTGGCACTGTGCCGATCCAAAGCCAGGAGCCTGGTGCTTCCTCCCGGTCTCCCATGTGGGTGCAGGGGCCCAAGCACTTGGGCCATCCTCCACTGCCCTCCTGGGCCACAGCAGAGAGCTGGACTAGAAGAGGAGCAACCAGGACTAGAACCCGGTGCCCATATGGGTGCCAGCGTCACAGGCAGAAGATTAACCAAGTGAGCCATGGCGCCAGCCCCAGATCACTGGTTTTTTTTTTGTTTGTTTGTTTGTTTGTTTTTTATGTGTAAAGCATCTGCCATCAGTCTTTGGGAAAACATTTTTCATTCATTTCACTGAAATAAGTGTGCCAGGAGCAAGAGACAAGTGGGAGAGCCATATATATTTTCCTCCAAGAAGTGCCCTTGGAGGTGGTCACCTGAAGTGTGGATGCGCCTGACTATAGCCTCTCAGCCAGGGCTCTCTCAGACTAGCACACTTCATCTCCACCAGGCCCAAAAAGTGGATTCCTTTATGTCCAGTGTAGCCTAGAAAGCTCCCCCATGGTTGACTCTCGTTTTTATCTGCTCTGGAGGATCAGGGACTGGATCCAGCTCCACAAGGGAGACTGAATACTGCCATTGACTTGTGGGTACATTTATGCAGTCTTCATTATATCTTGCCTTTGTGCTAAGGATGCTAAGGTTCTCCTTTATATTTGTTTAACATAGAGAACACAGAACGTGGGCAATGGCTCACAGATAGAAACATGATTATGCCCTGGTCCTGTCCCCTCCCTTCCACAGACTGAACATTATTGTTCCTTCCTGGGACACCCCCTTCTGCTGCCCCACCCTCTATCCCTGCCTAACTCTTGCTATTTCGCCTTTCATTTCAGTGTCATTGTCTCTCAGAATTTTTTCTGACTGATTGTTTGAACCCCACTTTCTGAAATACTGTGATTCCTATTTATAGTAGCTCATCATTGATATAACACTTGCTCTCAACCAGATACTGCTTCCATTGCTTTACATATGGTAACTGATTTATGTAGAGTGTTGTTGGCTGAGAAATAATAGGCTCAGAGAGAGTAAGAGATTGAGATCGCACAGCTAGTAAAAGGCAAAGGCTAGTTTAGAATCCAGAATTCTTGTTCCAGAATCTGCGAAAGATGCAGTATATTTGGGACAACATTTTCTGATGTGTGTTTGGGGATGCAAAAATAAAACCAAAATTCTATAGTTAACTGTATATTAGACCTACATACTGAGGGCAACTGGTCTGTACTTCCATGGGGACATCCCCTTCCTTCCTCGATATCACACTCTACCTGTGTTTCTAGGACTTTCTCTCACTACAAGTTTGAATTTGCTTCAGAACCACATGTCTAGTAGCAAATGTATGGGCACTTTAGGTTGGACAGTGTACTTAATCTCAAGGATTATCAGGGAGCGCTAAAGCTTTCTTGGTAGTTAAAAGTCTAAGATTCATTTTCTTTCATGATTAAATCTGTGTTAGTTAAGGATCTTTTCTGGAATGGTAGCCCAGTGTGACAGAAAGATATTTAAGAAAATCTGTAACAGTGATGGAACTGATAATTAATGATGCTTTTCAGGAAAATCTCCGATCAGGTGATTATTTTTCTTTAAGCTTGACTCTGACACTCCAAAGTTAGATTCCTCATAGTCAGGCCAGGTCTGAAGTTTTGCCCTGGATAGGTTACATCCACCCTTTCTAAGCCCAGGTATATCAGACCTCACACTGTCCATGTTACAAGATGCTGTGCCTTCCTGGATACTGGATTTCCCAAAACCCTATCCATCTATAAGCCTTCTTACCAGCCTCACAGTGCCTCTTTACAGTGGACTGTCTCAGGAACTCACACATAATTCTGTGCCTGCAGGGAACTTCCCAACACAGATGTCCAGGAGCAAAGCTATTTAAAATCACCTGCTTGAGAACAGGAACTGAGGCTTTGTACAGCAATGGAGAGCACTTCAATCAAGTAGGGGCTCTAAGGGAAAGAAACATGTTGTGAAAGTGTCCAAGGGGTAAGGATTGTCGGGGTATCTTTGACAGCCAGGTCCTGATTCAATCATTGAGGGTATGTCAAGGTAGATGTGGAGCAGCTGATTGGGAAAAATGCCTTGTGAACTCTCTGCCACAGCCCCTGTCTGACGTTGTCCTTTCAGACTCCATCCCAGGATACCTGCTGTTCTCTCCAAGAGGCCCTCGCCATGGGTTTCAAAGGAGGTGAGAATTATCTGCCAGGACTCAGCAGGAGAATCCAGTGCCTAAGACATCACCCCAAGGGAATGCTAGAGAAGATGGTGAGAGTTCCCAGGTCCCAAGAGCTGCTCATGAGCCAGACCCTGCAATTTCTTCAAGACAGAGGGGCTGTCCCTCGGAGCCGTCTGTACAGTTCTCTTCACCTCTTTTCCTCATCCAGGGCTACTGCTATTCCCCTGCGTGATGAAGCCAGCACAGCACTGGGGACGTCATCCAGGAAAGCCAGGGCTGCAAAAGGAGGACGCACAGAGCATGGGAGCCATGTGAGTACTAACTGCTCCAAGTGATGGAGTCAGCATGGTGCACACAAGTAGATGCCTTGGGTCAGGCCCTGGTGAACTGTGCCATAATTCTGGGTATTGTGACAAGAGAGCTCTTAATTAGGCAAGCCATGTCACTCACATAACAAGGCGGTGTGCCTCTTGCTGACACTGTGATGCTACTGCATAGTGAATCCTCATGCTTGAACAACACCCCTGAGTAGCAGATCTTCTCACTTGATTGTCTTTGCTTTGGTTACAGAAAGACTAAGATCTCAAAATCCAGCATACTTTAACAAGTGGGCAGGACTTTCTGTTATAATGTGGAGGTATACTTGTTTTTTCCACGTCCTCACTAGCATTTACTGTTTTTTGATTTATATATGAGAGCCATTCTAAAAGGGCTGAGGTGAAACCTCATTGTGGCTTTGATTTGTACTTTCCTGATGGCTGGTGGTGATCCTAAACATTTTTTCATGTGTCTGCTGGCCATCGAAATTTCTTCTCTTCTTTCTTTAAAGAAAGATTTTTATTTTATTTATTTGAGAGACAGAGTTACAAAGAGAGGGAGGGAGGGAGGGAGAGAGAGAGACTTCTTCCATCTGCTGGTTCACTCCCCAAATGGCTGCAATGGCCAGAGTTGAGCTGATCCAAAGTTGAGCCACCCTGCATACCAGGCATAAATCCTGCTTTCTCTGAATGAATGATCTTTCTGATATGTTGCTGGGTTTGATTAGATAGTATTTGTTGAGGATTTTGCATCTATGTAAATCAGGTTATTGGTCTAAAGTTCTCTTTCTCTGTTGCGTTTTTCTGGTTTAGGAATTAGGGTGATGCTGCCTTCATAGAAGGAGTTTAGGAGGATTCTCTCCCTTTCAGTTGTTTTGTATAGCTTGAGAAGAATTGGGATTAGTTCTTTAAATGTCTGGTCGAATTTAGCAGTGAAGCCATCTGGTGCTGGGCTTTTCATTGTTGATAGTCTTTATTACTGATTGAATTTCCATCTTGGTTATTGATCTGTTTAGATTTTTGTGTCTTGCTGCCTCACTTTTAGTAGATTGTATGTGTCCAGGTTTATATCCATTTCTTCGCTCGTTGTAGCAATTCCTGGTGATTCTTTTTATTTCTGTGCTATTTTTGTTACATTTCCTTTTTCATCTCTGATTCTAATGATTTGGGTTTTCTCCTTGGTTTACTTTTTTTGTTGTTTATTCAGGCTAATGGTGTTTCAATTTTGTTTATTTTTTCCAACAAAAGAATTTTCATTTCACTGATCATTTGTGATTTTTTTGTTTCAGTTTTGTTTGTTTCTTATCTAATTTTAATTATTTCATTCCTGCTACCAACATTAAATTTGATTTGTCATTTTTCTGGGTCCTTGAGATACATTGATTGCTTAGTTATTTTCCAATTTATTAATACAGGCACTAATTGTTACATAATTCCCTCTTAACTCTTCTTTTCTGTATCCCATAAATTTTGATATGTTGCATTGTCTTCTTCATATTTTTCCAAAAATTTTTTGAATTCTCTTTTAATTTCTTCTATGACCCACTGATCATTCAGGAGGATGTTGTTCAGTCATGTATTTGCATGTGTTCTAGAGTTTCTTGAGTTCTTAATTTTCAGATTCAGTTCCATTGTGGTCCAAGGAGATGCATGCTATGATTTCATTTATTTTGAATATGCTGAGACTTGCTTCATGGCCTAGTATATGGCCTATCCTAGAAAAAGTCCCATGCACTAATGAAAAGAATGTGTATTCACTGTGGCAAAAAAAAAATGACCTAAGTGAAAGACCTCTGTGAGTGAGATCCCAGTGGAAAGAACAGGTCATTCAAGAAGGAGGTACCTTTCTCTGAAGGGAGGAGAGAACTTCCACTTTGACTATGACCTTGTCTAAAATATGATCAGAGTCGGTGAACTCAAAAGGCCTCCATATCCTTGGCAACTCATGACAAGAGCCTAGGGAGACTACTGATGCCATAGACAGGAGTGTCAATTTGTAAAGTCAACAACAGGAGTCACTGTGCACTTACTCCTCATGTAGGATCTCTGCCCTTAATGTGCTGTACATTGTGTTTTAATGTTGTAACTAGTACTCAAACAGTATTTTACACTTCGTGTTTTCTGTGTGGGTGCAAACTGTTGAAAGCTTTTCTTTTTCTTTTCTTTTCTTTTTTTTTTTTTTTTTTTTTTGACAGGCAGAGTGGATAGTGAGAGAGACAGAGAGAAAGGTCTTCCTTTTGCCGTTGGTTCACCCTCCAATGGCCGCCGTGGCCAGCACGCTGCGGCCGGCGCACCGCGCTGATCCGATGGCAGGAGCCAGGAGCCAGGTGCTTTTCCTGGTCTCCCATGGGATGCAGGGCCCAAGCACCTGGGCCATCCTCCACTGCACTCCCTGGCCACAGCAGAGAGCTGGCCTGGAAGAGGGGCAACTGGGACAGAATCTGGCGCCCCGACCGGGACTAGAACCCGGTGTGCCGGTGCCGCTAGGCGGAGGATTAGCCTAGTGAGCCGCGGCGCCGGCCTTGAAAGCTTTTCTTAATATATGCTAAATTGATCTTCTGTATATAAAGATAATTGAAAATGAATCTTGATGTGAATGGAAGGCGAGAGGGAGCAGGAGAGGGAAGGGTTGCGGGTGGGAGGGAAGTTATGGGGGGAAAAGCCATTGTAGTCCATAAACTATACTTTGGAAATTTATATTCATTATATAAAAGTTTAAAAAAAAGTGTGTATTCTGTTACTGTGGGATGAAAGGTTCTATAGATATTAATTAGGTCCATTTGGCCCATCTATTGTTTCTTTGTTGAATTTCTGTCTAGTTGATCTGTCCATTGATAAAGGTGGGATGTTGAAGACCCCCATTACTAGTGTATTGGAGTCTCTGTCTCCCTTTAGATCTATTGATATTTATTTGAAGCAGCCTGGCACCCTGGAATTGGGTGCATGTACTTTTATGATAGTTGCATATTCCTGTTGAATTGATCTCTTAATCATTACGTAGTGTCCTGCTTTGTCTCTTTTAACAGTTTTTATGTTAATGTCTATGTTGTCTGATATTAGGATGGCTGCACATGGTTGTTTCTGTCTTCTGTTACCGTGCAATATCTTTTTTCATCCTTACTTTCAGTCTGGGTCTATCTTTGTTGGTGAGGGATGTTTCTTGAAGGCATTAAATAAATGAGTCTTATCTTTAATCCATTTAGCCAGCCTTTATCTTTTAATTGGAGAGTTTAGGCCATTTACATTCAAGGTTACTATCGATAAGTCACGACTTGGCCCTGCCGTTTTTCTGTAAATATTCCTTCTGTTTGCTTTGGGTTTCCTTTGTACTTTTACCGTGAGATTTTCTGCCTTCACCTTCTTTCATAGTGATGACTATGTTTCTGTGTTTCTGTGTGTAGGACATCCTTAAACATCTTTAGTAAGGCTGGACAAGTGGTGACAAATTCTTTCTTTTATTATGGAAGGTGTTTGCTTAATTTTCATTCATAAGTGAGTGCTTTGCAGGGTACAGTCTTCTGGGTTGAAAGCTTTTCTCTTAATATTGGGCTGTGTCTCTCCATTCTCTCCTAGCCTGTTGAGTTTTGTACGAGAAATCAGCAACGAGTCTAATTGATAAGCCTCTGAAAGTAATCTGGCTTTTCTCTTGTGTACATTTTGGAACCTTTTCTCTATGTTTTAGTGCTGAAAGTTTGACTACAGTGTGTTGTGATGAAGAGCCTTTCTGGTCATGTCTATAAGGAGTTTTATGTGCCTCATGTACTTAGACAACCCTTTCTTTCTCCAAATTGAAGAAGTTTTCTGTAATTATTTCACTGAATAGGCCTTCTCATCGGCTCTATCTTTCCACACCTTCAGGAACTCTCAGACCCATTTGTTGGGTCATTTGATAGTATACATAAATTTCCAACATTTATAATTTTTATAATTTCTTCTCCTTTTTTTGTTCTGACAAAAACTTTATAAAGATTTCTCTTCCAGCTTCGATGGTCTTTCTTTTGACTCACCAAATATGTTGTTAAGGCTTTCCAATATATTTCTGTTTGACACATTGAATTCTTCATTTCTAATATTTCATTTTGATTTCTCTTGAAAATTTCCATTTCAGGGGATAATTTTTTTTTAACTTTTATTTAATGAATATACGTTTCCAAAGTACGAATAATGGATTACTATGGCTTCCCCCCCATACCGTCCCTCCCACCCACAACCCTCCCCTTTCCCACTCCCTCTCCCCTTCCATTCACATCAAGATTCATTTTCGATTATCTTAATATACAGAAGATCAGCTTAGTATACATTAAGTAAGGATTTCAACAGTTTGCTCCCACACAGAAACATAAAGTGAAAAATAACAGATGATTTTTTTTTTAATGATGATGAAATCAGATCAGACCTATTGTCATGTTTAATCCCAGTGAGAGTCAAGTTGGGAGTTGATAGTTTCTTTTCTTTTCTTTTCTTTTTTTTTTTTTTTTTACAGAGGATCAGTTTAGTATGCATTAAGTAAAGATTTCAACAGTTTGCACCCCCATAGAAACACAAAGTGAAATATATTATTTGAGTACTCGTTATAGCATTAAATCTCAATGCACAGCACATTAAGGACAGAGATCCTACATGAGGAGTAAGTGCACAGTGACTCCTGTTGTTGACTTTACCAATTGACACTCCTGTCTATGGCATCAGTAATCTCCCTATGCACCAGTTATGAGTTTCCAAGGCTATGGAAGCCCTCTGAGTTCTCCGACTCTTATCTTGTTTAGACAAGGTCATAGTCAAAGTGGAGGTTCTCTCCTCCCTTCAGAGAAAGGTACCTCCTTCTTTGAAGACCTGTTCTTTCCACTGAGATCTCACTCACAGAGATCTTTTGCCAGAGTGTCTTGGCTTTCCATGCCTGAAATACTCTCATGGGCTTTTCAGCCAGATCCATTTCAGGGGATAATTTCTCATTCACATCATGTAAGGATTTCTTTAATTTGTGGATTTCCTTCTGAGTAATCCTACGATTAATCTTTTGAATTACACTTCAGGTACTTCCTCAGTCTCTTAATCTTCACATTCTGATTTTGATGTGTTGTTGCATTCCTTGGGGAGGGCAAGTGAAGTTGTCTTTTTTCTTGATTCTTGAATTTCTGTGTTTAGTTTTAGGCATTTGTGAAAATATTGAATTCACAGGGCAAGATGGCGGTATAGCAGCAGGAGGTACCGAGTTGTGCAGCGAAAATGGATGATTAATGAGTAGAAGGGATACAAACAGCTGGCAGAATCATGAAAAAATTATGTCCCGAAGTCCTCCAGAGGCTGCTCAGGTCCACTCCAGCAGAAGCAGAGAGAGGACTGAAGGATAGAGAATGAGCAGCACAGGAATGCAGTGAGGAGACAGGTGCCTCTTCCTCAGCAAACCAGGTGAGAGGTTGCAATCCCACAAAGATGCAGTGAGTGGGGACATTTGGTGAACAGTGCTTGGGGCTCTAAGCAGGAAGAAGGAGAAATTCTGAGGAATGGGTGGAGAGATTGAATATACCACAATCCATTGGTGTCTATCCCCCCCAACCAGAGATACAGTTAGCGGGATGAAGCCATATTGGTTGTTTACATTTTTGTGTGTAGGCAGCATGCTGCCGTGTTCGCCCAGGTACGCATACTCATCGATTGCAGAGGCCACCTCACAACATGTACCACACGGGGACAAGGACCACAACAATTCAGAGTGATTTCCCACCCACCATGCAAGTTGTACAACAGCAAATAATGCTAAATGATAACCCTAGCTCGTTTTACAAACAAGTGAGCAGGGAGCCCAGCACCAGCAGGTGGGGCTTAGTGCACCAAAGCACTGGTACCCAGCTCCATCAGGAATCAGAAATAAACAAAGCTCAGGGAGGTGGTACTGCATGCACATAGCAGCTCATAGCAGAGGGAGATCAATTTAAAAATAAAACCAATCTGAAACCAAACAGAAATGCCAAAGAACAAAGAAATAATTCTGAATAAGAATAACGAAGAATTTGACCAGATAAAAAATGCAGTGGAATCTCTTAGTAATAGAACAGACGAAATAGAAGAGTGAATATCAGAACTTGAAGACAAACTTCCAAAAATAACAGTCAGAACAAACATAAGAAGAAAAATTTAGAAAATGAAGAGTTGGTTGGAGATTTACAAGATTCCATCAGGTGATCCAACGTACAGATCACATAGAAGTTCCAGAAAGTGTGGAAAGAGAGAAATAATTAGAAGGCCTACTTAATGAAATTTTATCAGAAAACTTCCACAATAGGCAGATTGAAAGAGACATCCAAACACAAGAGATACACAGAACTGCCAATAGACAGGACCAGAAAAGGAGTTCACCACGACACATTGTGGCAATACTCAGCTCAGTGAAACACAAAGAACAGATCTTAAAATGTGCCTGAAAGAAATGACAAATTACATTCAGAGGTAATCCAATTAGACTCACCCCAGACTTCTCATCTCAAACCTTACAGGCAAGGAGACAATCACAAGATAAATTCCTAGTCCTAGAGAAAAAAAAAAAAACTGTCAACCCAGAATACTGTACCCTACAAAGCTTTCATTTATGAATGAAGGAGAAATAAGGATTTTCCACAACAAACAGAAATTGAAAGAATTTGTGTCTTCATGCCCATCCCTATAACACTGGCTCAAGGATGTGCTATACACAGAAACACAGAAACAGGAACTTCGCTACAAAAGAAGATGAATGTAGAAAATGACCCAGCAACAGTACAAACAAAATCCAAAACACATAAACAGGTCTATTTAAGGAAACTAGGCAGGGAATATATAATATTTAACAATAATCACACTGAATGTAAATGGTCTCAACTCGCCAGTTAAGAGACACAGACTGGATGAATGGATTAAAAAAAAAAGAAAACCTATTTATCTGCTGCCTAAAAGAAACACACATTACTAATAAAGACATATACAGACTGAAAGTGAAAGGAGGGAAAAAGATACTGCAAGCTAACAGAAACCAAAAAAGAGCTGGTGTGGCCATTCTAATATCGGACACAGTAGACTTTAACACAAAAACTATTAAAAGAGACAAAGAAGGATCAATTCAACAGGAAGATGTGACTATTATAAATGTATATTCACCTAATTACAGGGTGCCTGGCTATTTGAAAGGATTATTAAGAGATTTAAAGGGAGATATAGACTTAAATACAATAGTAACAGGGGAACTGAATACCCGTCTTTCAGCAATGCACAGATCAGACAGAAAATCACCAAGGAAACAACAGAGTTAATTGACACTACAGACCAAATAGACCTAGCAGATATCTATGGAGCCTTCTACCATACAGCAAAAGAGTACACATTCTTCTTCCCAGTGCATGGAACTTTCTCTAGGATTGACCATATATGCTAGGCCATAAAAGGAGTCTCAGCAATTTCAAAAAATTGAAATCATACCATGCATCTATCCAGACCACGATGTAATGCAGCTGGAATTCAGCAACTCAAGAATCTCTGCATCATATGCAAACACATGGAGAATGAACAGTGTGTTCCTGAATGAACAGTAGGTCACAGAAGAAATCAAAAGAGATATCATAAAATTTCTGGAAACAAATGAAAATGACAATACAACTTACCACAGTGTGTGGGATACAGCAAAAGCAGTGTTAAGGGTGAAACTTTAAAGCAATTGGTGCTTATATCAAGAAACTGGAAAGGCACTAAATAAATGAACCATCTGTGCACCTCAAGGATCTAGAAAAGCAGCAGCAAACCAAACCCAAAACCAGGGAAAGAAAAGAAATAATTAAAATTGGAGAAGAAATCAACAAAATTGAAACAAAAAATACAAATGATCAGCAAAATGAAGACCTTGTTTAAAATTGACACACTGTTGGTTCAACTAACCAAAAAAGAGAGGGAGGGAGGGAGGGAGGGAGGGAGGGAGAGAGAGAGAGAGAGAGAGAGAGAGATAAGATTCAGATCAATAAAATTAGAGATGAAAAAGTAAATGTAACAGCAGACACTACAGAAATAAAAAGAATCATTGGAAACCATTACAAGGAGCTGTATGCCAACAAAACAAACTGGGGAACCTAGAAAATGAATAGGTTCCCGAACACATACAGCTTACCTAAATTGAGCCATGAAGACAAAGAAAACCTAACAGACACAGAACCAAGGTATAAATTGAATCAGTAATAAAGGCCCTCCCAACAAAGAGAGTCTGGTACCACACAGCTTCACTGCTGAATTCTACCAGACATTTGAAGAAATAACCCCAGTTCTTCCCAAATGACTCAAAACAATTGAAAGGGAGGGAATCCTCCAAAATTCTTTGTATAAAATCCTCAGTATAAGCATGGACCCCATTGCATTTACCCACCCTAGATGATCATGGAGCTCTGAGCAGCATGTGGAGCAGCTCACATTGATTGCCCAGAGACCCAGGTACACTTTGTGCAGTCACAAGTTCCCACAGTCTCAGCTCACTAGGCTCCCACAGTCAACAGGGTATAGAGGATCCACTCTGCTCTGCTAGCCTGTCCTGTCCACAGAGAGGCAGAGATGTTCCCAGAGCCAGCTGTCTGTGTTCTGCCTTGGCAGTTGGAGCCACAGAGCGTATGGTATGTTGAGAGGCTAGGGGTGCCTCACATTCCTACATGGGTGTCCAATCCTCCAAGCTGACTCAAAGTCAGTGGGGAACATGGATTTTCCCTCTGCTGGTATCTCTGGATCACATGCATGCACAACAGCCACCTGCTGAATAGTGTCTCCTCCCCGACTGGTTTCCAGGTGTGTGCCCCCAAGCTGCTGCCCCTGGTACTGCCCCTGGTACTGCTGAGAAGATGGCATCTCCTCTCAGCCCGATGCTGGGTGCCTGCCCAAGAGCTTCCAGAGCTGCCACCTTTGGTGCCTGCCCTCTCTCAGCCAGTTGCTGGGTGCTGTTGTATTCAGATGAGGTGAGAGAAATGTGCTGCCATTTTTTTACTGTGTCAGCAGTCACACTCTCCCTCTTAGGCTCCAGGCCAGACTCATGCCATGCTCTCCCTCTGTCTGTATCACTGTTGGCTTGGGTTGCTACAATCTGATCTCACCTCAGTCTCCAAAGTTGGAGCCTTCTCCAGCTATCAGCTCCTGGGGTCATGAGTTGGGTCTGTGTTCATGCTACACAACCAAATCTTCCACACAGATCCATGCCATTCCTCTTCCTTCCATAGTTTTCCACTGAAGTTTTCTCTGATTCTCCCATGACAATGTATATCCTGCTTTTTTATTATTTACTCTTAGCTTAGAGAAGTATGCCTTTCCCTATTTCAGCAACTTGGCACCTCCCCAGATGGAAGTTTTAAGTTAGATCATGTTATTCTTCTACAGACTTCCCTTCGCTTCCTATCTCCTTCAGAGTAAGAGCAACCACACTCTCAGTGGCATCAGGGTCTGCATTATATGGCCTCCTTTGATCTACTTTCCTACCATTTTTCTTTTCATTTCTCAACTCCAGCCACCCTGGGCCTCTGTCACTTCCTCAGTCTTTTCAGGCACTCTCATACTTCTAGATATTCGCACTGCTTTTTCCAGAATCCTAAAGCCCACCTTTTCACTTCTGTCAGAGCTCTGTTCACCTTCCAGGGAGTCCTTCCTCAGCCTACTTGTATGACACAGCAGTCTTTAACCTCTGCACCCCTTTCCTGTTCCTGTTTGATTCTCTCTCCTCAGCAGCTATCACCAACCTCTGGGCTATGTATTCTTTCTTTCTTTGCTCTTTTCTCCCATTCCTCCCACTCCTACAATATGGGCCTCATGAGAGTGGAGCTGTGTTTTAACCACGGCTGTGTATCCCAAGTGCCTGGAACCATGCTTCACTCATCTCAGCATTCAATAACTATTTGTTGAATGAATGAGTCTTACACACATCACCTCTGTGACAGTACTGGAAGATAAAGATGCATTTATTCCATTCCACAAAGAAGGAAATGGAAGCTCAGAGGTTAGGTTGTATGCATTTTGTGATGGAACCTTTACTTGACTGCCCAGATTTGAATGTTGCTAGAGTCATTTCTATCAGAGAGACATAAATGTCAGGTTCTCCAAAGACGTGCCACGTGATCACCTACCAGCTGTCACACATGCTGAATAAGCAGGAATCTGTGGTGGTTATATGAGTCATCAGCTCTGAGAGCAGAGCAGGGGTCCTGAGTGGTTGCGTTGGATGCTCTGGGAAAGGCTGCCATAATGAAGGTCCAGCTGCTGCTCAGTTCTCCCCTCAGTACCTCTGAGTCAACACCTGTGGTCACACAGACCCTCCCAGGTGAGGGGACTGTGATGTTTTTCTAGACCTGGATGCCATAAAAGGATCATTGTGTGTAACTCCCAGCAGTGAAGGGCTGAGACTGAACCAGTGTCATCTCAGT